GCAGCCTCTCCTGGGGGCCTTCTCGGGGGTGGGGGGTGGCATGCAAAAGACAAACCCTTTTATTGGCGCGGGGACACACCCTCATTTACGGGGCATCCCCCCCAACCACGAACCAGTTGCTAAGATTTGATGAGGGGCCCCTCGTTTCAACAGTGACCATTTTCTAGCCAATAAGAAGGTGGATTGACAATCGCAGGGGTATGGGGATACCGCTTTCCTGTCTGCCCTTTCTTTCCCCACCTAGACTGGTTGAAGCACGGTCGCATTTTGTGGCTTCTATTTTTGCCTTGCTTACCGTGGAGTGCACTAATTTATCACGTACATGTTACTTTTTGTTTTTAAATTGGTGAAGGATAAATAACTAACTTTTCTACTGTTTTATTTGCCTCCCTTACCCCGGGGATAACGGGGGGCCATTTAAATCCTTTTTTGTAATATATCCATTATCAGTTCCTAGAAAAATATAGAATTTTAAGTACAGGAAGTTTTTTCCCTAATTAATCAAAATTTCTTCACACAGAGTTTGTATAACTACTGAAAGCACTCCAGTAATTCACAAAAAAGTCAAATGCACAAATAACATACACTAGGAGAAAGAAACTCATAACAATGTTTTGGTCCGATTGGACCATACACCCAAAAACACAGCATGGACTATTTTATGGCAAGTCAACCAAAATTTAAAAATTTTTCTTTTCCTAGTGAGGGGTTTTTTTACATTGTTCCAGTCACAGTATTGGTTTTATTGTTCTTTAAGAGCTAACTCTTAAAAAAAAAGTCAAGAAAGCATTTTTTTGTTTACAAAGTTATATCATTTCACAAGTGATGAAATGGAACTAATACTTAAAAATTTTCATAACAAAATTTCTTTAGTAACAAAAATTTTTTGACTACACAACAAACAACAGAAAAAAAAACCTCCCTTCTCTTAAACATCGCGTTTCATCATTTTCCCATCGGGACTCAAACTTAAATTTTGCATAGCTGATATACTGCAATCATGGTTGTTGGCCCCACAGTATTGCCCCCTTGTGTATCCTGGCAATCCTGCCCAATTATCAATAAAAAAAACGGGCCTTTAATCAAAAAAGGGAAAGGTTATTTTTAGGGAGAGGAAAGTACAACCACGCCATACACAGTATTATAAGTTCATAAAATATATAATCTTTTTATCTAACCTGCAAAAATTAAAAACAAAATTTTTAACACACAGTCTTTCCCCACCGAGTAGGGACCGAAAAAAAAACATTTATCCTCATACGCTCATCACTGTCTTGCCCAAGGGTGCGATACTACAGTTCAGATGCTCCCCCAAACGCAAATATCCCATCCCCTTCAGAGTGTAGGCACTGTACTTCCCACCTCCAAGACTAAAGTTCGACTCAGGGGCTTCCCCTGAACCCCTTTCACAAATTTTACCTTGCCACACTCCAACGCTCTCAAGCCAAAAAAAACCTTTTTCCCCCTCATTCCATAAACACCGCACATGCCTGCTCAATGCCAGCCGTTGCACAAAAACCTCCTTTCCAGGCAAACCCACCCCACCTTCCCTCCACACACATTTATACACCCACCAATCACTTATTTTGCTCCATCCTCTCTAAATGTCTTTTTTAAAAAAATTGGGAGATACATAGCCCAAAGACTTGTTAAGTATTTTAAAATTTTTTACCATAGCAAACATTTCCGTAAAATCTTAAAAACTACTGGATACGTTACTTTAAATTTTCAGAAAAAATCATAAACTTCCCATAACACATTTTTAGAAATTGCATAATTTTTTGAGGGAAAAATCTAACATTCAGTGAAATTTTTTTTTAAAACAAAATTGTGAGAAGAAAAAAGCAGACGGTTGCAAACTTGAAAAGTAATTTGACAGACAGAAGAAAAAACCTCTGGTAATGTTTTAAAGGGGATGTTGTTACAAACTGGGGAAGATGCCAGGGCCAGCGCTGAAATATTGGGACAAAAAAGGTCACATCTTTTCCCTCGGAGCCGTCTCGGGATCATCATCACCGCCCACAGGAAACATGGGCACGCATCCTTATTTCTACATTTTAAAGTCTTTCCAAAACCCCAAAAATTTATATTCTGTAAAAAATAGAGTAACTTTATAAGTTTTAAATATTTTCTGGCCAATTATTTTTAAACAAATGTTGAAAAGGGGGGGAATAAAAAAAAATTTTTTAAAAACACGGGCCATCCCCACCAACGCAGGGGGACCCCAAAAAAATAACACTTTCAAAACCCTCATTCCACTATCCTTCTTGCTAGAGGGATGCAGGTACAACAGTTCTGATGTCCCTCCAATTGGCAAATATCCCAAACCCCTCCTTTAGAGTGCTGCACTGTACTTCTCACCTCCAGGGACTCAAGTCTGGCTAACAGAAGGGATTAAAAGATGTTTGATCTAACACAAAGAGTTATCACAATGCTTCTTTGCTTATGACACACATCTTTTGCTGGTTTCTGAAGACAAACTGTGAAGGTTGGTGGACAAATTTGGGATATGTAAAAAGAAGGAAATGAAAAGTGAACACAGAAAAGGCAAAAAGTTCTAGGCAATGATGGACTGAATATCAGATTGGAAGGAAGGATTACAGAGGAAATGAATGCATTTAGATACAGTGCACCCTCAACCAACGGCATTAATCTGTTCCAGAGGGCTTGCCGTTGGTCGAAATTGCCGTTGGTTGAGTTAATTTTCCCCATAAGAAATAATGGAAATAGAATTAATCCGTTACTGACATCCCAAAGTCCGAAAAAAAAACATTTTTACATGAAATATACATTTCCTTATATGGAAAGGAATGGGACATGCAAAATAAACAATAATTAAATGACACTTACCTTTACTGTGGAGTTGTTGATGAGTGATTTGCCAGTAGCAGGGAAGATTCAGGATTGTCTATTGCTTGGCAGGAGAATCCCCTTCCATAAAGACTTCAGGTGCCAAGTCCTTTGGTGGGGTTACCCCCCTTCTCGGTTTTTTAATGCCACTAAGACCGGCTTGAGAATCACTGGACCACCCTCTACCACCATCACTACCACCCTCTACCACCATCACAACCACTACCACCCTCTACCACCGCCACTTTCATATTTTTCTACAAACTTTTTCTTGAATTCTATCGTGTTTCTCACATCCTTTACCAAAGAGCTGGCTCTAGAATCTTTCGTGGGGTCCATGGTGGTTTATTTAGCTGTTACAAGCACTAGAAACAGTGGAATAATCCAAAATGTATGGGAGGCACAAGTGGAAACTGACTGCAACAGCTTATAAACAATGGCACACTGACTCTTGGAGTGGCTGGGCACACATCAACAGGTTCTGGACGAATGTCAATGGTTAAGTTTTTCGCCATTGGTTAAGGCATTTTTTCTCCAGCAAAAAGTGCCATTAGACAAAACTGTCATTACTTAATGCCGCCGTTAGTTGAGGGTCGACTGTATTTGGAAGTGGGCATGTTAGCAGATGGGTCTATGAAAGACAATGTGAACCACAGAATAGATGAGGGCAAAATGGTGAATAGTGTGTTACAACATCTGTGTAAGAAAGCAGCTATCAATGGAGGCAAAAAAAGGAATTGTACCAGAGTACAGTGATACCAATACTTTATATGGGTGGAGACATGGGCTTTAAATGTTGCAGGAAGGAGGAAGATAAAAGCCATGGAGATGTCATGCTTGAGAGAAATGAGAGGTGTGAAAATCATGCATCAAATTCAGAGTGTAGAAATAAAGGTGATGTGGGGGCACCAAGAGCATAATTCAGATGACTGCAAAGTGGTTTGTGAAGAAACTTGGGTATACAGAGAAGATGGAGAGAGAGAGATATAGGATAATCACCTACATGAATAAGTGTCATGCAGATACAACACATTACATACATACTAAAGCTTTATGGGGATGCAACATCATATTAATAAAGATCTTTTGCTTTATACATGGTTGAGAAAGCTTGCTGTCTTACCACATGCTGCGTGTTCATCAGAGTCATCATCTGAACCACAATCCTTATCAATGTCACACACCCACGAGTGAGCAATACAACGGCCAGACACCTGACACCTGAAAAAGCATAACAATTTATTAAAACACAATAAGGTAATAAACATATATATTTGTTTGGGATATTGGTAGTTTGGGAGGACTTCTAAACTGTCATATCTGAGTGCCTCTGCAAAGACAATGATTATGTATGAGTGAGGGTGCAAGTGTTGAATGATGAAAGCATTTTTCTTTCTTTTTGGGTTTTTCTTTTTTTTGGGTCACCCTACCTCGGTGGGAAACGACCGATGTGTTAAAAAAAAAAAATTATATGTTATCTGCATGGGGAAGTAAAGAAGAATTCTTCCTTCATAAGCCATGTGTGTCATAAGAGGAGACTAAAATGCTGGGAGTAAGGGGCTAATAACCCTCTCTCCTTTATAAATTGGGGAAGTGGAACAGAATTCTTCCTCCGTAAGCCATGCATGTTGTAAGAGGTGACTAAAATGCCGGGAGCAAGGGGATAGTAACCCCTTCTCCTGTATAAATTACTAAATTTAAAAAGAGAAACTTTTGTTTTTCTTTTTGGGCCACCCTGCCTCGGTGGGATACGGCCGGTTTGTTGAAGAAAAAATGTAAAAAGAAAAAAACACTTTCATTTCTTCTTTTTCAGGTCACCCTGCCTCAGTGGGAAACAACCAAGGTGTTTAAATAAATAATGTTAATGAAGAATAAAATATAAAAGTACAAACTATATAAAAATGATTTCATCACTGATCACCTGAATTTATCTGCTGGGCAGAGCGGGTGATTGCACTCCTCAGGGCTCTCATCTGATCCATCCTCACAATCACGGTCACCATCACATACCCAGTATGCATCGATACATTGATTATTACCACACTGGAACATGTCATTGTGACACTGTGCAGCCTCTGAAAAATATTTAATATTTACTTTAATCACCTTTTAAAAATTACATGTACAATACAGTATATAATAAGGGAAGAAACCAATATAAAGTATGGGATTATACAAAAAATAATGTACATGTAGATATGTATGTGAGGTAGTAGGTTGGTAGATAGCAACCACCCAGGGGGATACTACAGTCCTTCCAAGTGAGTGTGAAACGAAACCCTGTAATTGTTTTACATGATGGTAGGATTGCTGGTGTCTTTTGTCTGTCTCATAAATATGCAAGATTACAGGTACGCCTTGCTACTTCTACTTACACTTAGGTCACACTACACATACGTGTACAAGCATACATATATACACACACCCCTCTGGGTTTTCTGCTATTTTCTTTCTAGTTCTTGTTCTTGTTTATTTCCTCTTATCTCCATGGGGAAGTGGAACAGAATCCTTCCTCCGTAAGCCATACGTGTTGTAAGAGGGGACTAAAATGCCAGGAGCAAGGGGCTAGTAACCCCTTCTCCTGTATATATTACTAAATGTACAAGGAGAAACTTTCATTTCTCCTTTTGGGCCACCCTGCCTCGGTGGGAGACGGCCGACTTGTTGAAAGAAAAGAAAGACATACCCCTCTGGGTTTTCTTCTATTTTCTTACTAGTTCTTGCTCTTGTTTATTTCCTGTTATCTCCATGGGGAAGTGAAACAGAATTCTTCCTCCGTAAGCCATGCGTGTTGTAAGAGGCGACTAAAATGCTGGGAGCAAGGGGCTAGTAACCCCTTCTCCTGTATAAATTTCTAAATTTTTAAAAAAATAAACTTCTGTTTTTCTTTTGGGCCACCCCG